TAATTTCAATCGGGTGTTTAAACTAGTTTAAGTATCATTTCTTTAAATTTACTTGTAGTCTCGTAAACAAAACTATATTTTCAAAACTATTTTTGGTATGATAAACTAAACAATGCTAGTTAACATATTTACAAAATTACGTAAATAAATTATCCTTATACGTTTCCCTTATTTTTCTACTTAGAAAACGAAAATTAATAGGTCACTAAAAATTTTTCTAAACTAAACTTCTAAACTTTTTATTTTATTATATTAATGAGTGCGGAAAGATAGAACTGTCTGACAATGACGAATATAACTGTTAAGTAATCTACATATATCTCCGATTACCCCCGAAAATACTAGACCCCGCTATTAAAATGCCCCCAAGCTTTAATTAAAAAGTGTTGGGTTTTTGCAGATTTGCATCAAGTTGCTCTAACACGTTTCTGGCAGATAGTTTCTCTATTTCCTATAAATAAACCCCTTTCAGGTTGGCCAGAAATTGCTAATAGAAAAGTTTAATTGACGGCCAGCGCAAACAAAAAATACATTTCGGCGGAGCCATTCAAAAGACGCCAGGTGGCCGAAAAAGAGATAAATAATAAGCAAGCATAGCCATAGACTCAAGGCAGATAAGCGGAGGCGCATGATTAGTTAGCGGGGGGAAACTGGCGGCAATTGCAGTCTCCATTTCGACTCCAAGCAAGCAAGCCCCCAGCCAGAGACACGGGAAATTAACGACTCAAATAAATCGCATCGCCCGCAGGCCAAGCAACACGGAAAGGCGACAAGGGGGCCGGAGTCCGGGCTCAAAAGGTCACTTACCGATGCTGGGACGGGCGATGATGACGGGCATGGACTCGTAGTGGTCGCGCACGAGGAGTTCCGCCAGGCGCTTGGAGTAGGTGTAGGTGTTCGGGTGCGGCTTGAGCAGGTCCGGCGTGATGGCGTCCAGAGTCTTCACGTCCATCCACTCGGCCAGGCGCATGAGGTCCTCGGGCTGGTGCGGGAACTCGTACACCTTCTCGTACATCACCTCTTGGTCGCAGTTGCAGAAGGCCGTGGACAGGTGGATGAAGGCTTCCAGTTGCTTCATCTCCTTGGCCACGTTGAGGGCGCGCCGGGTGCCCAGCAGATTCATGTCGATGGCGTCCCGCAGGTTGCCCTCCAGCTTGAGTGTGGCCGCCATGTGGAACACAATGTTGGTGTTTTCGGTCACATGCTTCAAGCTCTCGCCGCTCAGGCCCAGCTCTGGAAACAGAGGACAGAAAATGCTGCAGCCTCCAGAAGGACAGGCGGTGAACTGCGCTGTACTTACGGTCAAAGGTCACGTCGCCCTGGTAGATGGTCACCTTCTTGAGCATCTCCGGGCGCTCTTCCTTGATGCGCTGGAAGATGGGCAGCTTGAACATCTCCTCCAGCCGCGTCTCGGGGGCCTTTCCGCGCTTCGGGCGGCAGATAATGATCACCTCCTTGAGCGAGTGGCAGGAGTACAGCAGCTTCTCCAGCAGCACCTTGCCCATGAACCCGGACGCTCCAGTGATGAAGATCGTCTTGTCCTTGTAGTACTCCTGCACGGGTGATAGGTCTACCGTCATCTTGGCTGCAAAGAGAGAGGACCAGGAGTTAGCACAACTTCGAGGGAATGGGAATGGGAATGGGAACGAAGTGGCGCAAGAAGCATTCCGGGAAAGCGAAAACCAGTCAAAGGAAAAACTAGTGATTGGCAACAAGTGGCGCAAGCTGTGCTGGAAAACTGGGGCTCATTCTGGCCACGCGTGCCCCTCTTGCCACATCTGGAGTCCGACTCTAAAGCAGACAGCAGCAACTAGCAAGCCGCAACCTGCCGCAAACTGGTTTCCAGTTGGACTTTCGGTTTCTATTTGGATTTTCGATTGCGCCTGTGGATTCGCATTTCTTTGCGGACTTATGCAACGGCCAGAGGTAGCTGGCATCGAACCCGTCTAGCATGCCAGGCTGGCTTTATATCGCCCCCTCCCAGAGTCGGGGATTGTTGCAAGTATTTGTTGCCCAATCTGCATGCGGCTAGCCTGGCTTGGATTGCAGCCGCGTTACACTTGGCCACATCTGCGCGGCAGTTTCCGACTGTGCCTTGCACTTTGGCTATGTCATGACATTTCACGCAAGACCGGGCGGACGTATTTGTTTACATGTTTATTCTGCGACCCGAATGTGTGTCACACCCCGCCCAAGCATAACCATATCCATTACTGTATCTTTATCCGAGAGTGCTTATCTCCTCCAACAGAGCAGAGCTGGCGAAGATGGAAATTGCAAAGAAGCATGACTCGGCAGCTCCACCTGCACCTTGAACTACAAGCTCTAGCTCACCTGGGGAAATTTTTGGGTTCAGATCATTTGGCCAACGGCCGTTCTCCTTCATCTTTTGGCGCCTGCCTTTAGGGGCTTGTTACTTAGCCCCAGTTTCGGGCTTTATGACCAATTAACCGCGTCCGTCATATGTGTGAAAAAGGCTAGAGTAGCGCCAAAGCCCGAGAAAAAACCTCAGATTGCTTGCACTTATGCAAGTCTCGGAATACACACATTGAACCAAATTTTGAGAGCCAGGCCAGCCAAGTTGTCAAACCCGAAGCCATGAGCATGACACACACTGAAACTGAACCTAAAACAACGAAGCTTCATTTGGCTGAATGCAAACGAAAGACTTAGGCAACGAACTTGATCCATATAAAGGCGAAAGAGGTGAAGGGAAAGTCAGCGAACTGTTACTAACGCTAAACGCTGATAAGCAACTTCAAAAAATTATCTAAATCTACTGCTCATTTTCAATTAAAGAAGGCAATACCTGTCATAAGAAACAAAAAGTGGTACTACTAAGAATAATTTATACACTTCTACTAAGAGGTTTATATGATAAATAAGAGTATCCATCTCGTAGCACTTAGCTATAAACATTCAATTTGTCACGCCTAAATAAATCCACTTTTCCTAATCGAAAAAATTCACTTAAAATTTACCTTCGCCGTAATTGGCAAGTGTTTTTTAAAGCTCTTTTGATATTGCGCAAAGGCAAAATATGACCCTATTCAAAACGATAAGACTCTTTATTTTATTTGTTATTTGTTTCCCTCCTCCGTTTTGTCATATTTTTATTAGAGCCCAAACCGGTATGGCATTTGTAAGTAGAAACATTTTCGAATCTTTAATTAGCTTGTACGTTTGTGGCTGTGTTTCTCGAATGTTGTGTTCCTCTTGTTTACATATTGCCATTTTTGTTGTTGCAACTCGATTGCGACCTCAGAACTGGCTAACGTTGATGAGGGGCCATTACATTTTTCCAATGCAAAGTGCAGCCCCCAATCCGTCTGCCGTTAATAAAGCCAATGCAATGTGATTGACGGATTGACCCCTTTTCTAAGGCTACGATGATGTAAGATGGAGAAGAGCCGTGGCTGCGTGGAGGATCATTAAGAAAGCCACTTGAGGCTGAGACATTAAACCATGAAATCGAACAAATTTTAAATGTTTGGCAATTCTTCCATTCCATTGCCCATTTGGCCTTTGGTCGCGCAGTCTCACGAAAATTTAAATAAAAAAAACCCCCCTCAATATGTAAATAGCTTTTGTTTTGGATCAGCATTGATACAAATGAGATTTAGCCCAGACACATAAAATTAACAGTGAGCCGAGGCTCAAATATATGCAAAGGGCCAGGCCAAATCGCGGAACACGAAGTAGAAAATGTAAAATATCGGAAAATCAGGTTCATCTTGTTGTCAGCTTTTGCGACAGGTCATGACACGACCCTGACACGGACGCGGGTTCACGAGCGTATCTCGGACGCAGTCCCAGTAGGGCAGCCACTTGATTACGGCACGATATGAATCTAGAGGGGCTTGCTTTTATAATCCCCAATTAAATGCTTCGCTGGGCAGGTAAATGCCTCGAATTGCAGCCTAATTGCCCCGAAAAGTGAGCAGCCAAAGACAATGCGGCAATCAAAAACAGAACCGCTGGCCGATCTTGTCGAGGAGATGTCATAGTGTTGGTCACCATAGGTTGATCACCAGCGAATATTTTTGCGCCGTCAAGTGTTTCAATTACCTCGAGTGTTTGGGACTCTCCTCAATTAAAACGCTTCGAATATTTGTATCAAACTAGCCACTCGCGCACGCGAATTAATGCCAGACTTCAGCGGCTCGGATCAGACTGGATCGGCTCGAATTGAATCGTAATCGTTACGAGGTATTGGAGGGATCGACCCGATGTGCACGGCGCTCAAAAGAAGACTGAACGGGGCCAGCCAAGTGCTTGTCAATATGAATGGGTTTCGGAGTGGGCCAGCCGCGCTCTGGGATGTGGCAAACCGAGCCGAAACGAAGTTAAATCCACCAGTTGCAAGCCGTGGCCGGCTAGGTGTTGGTACAGACATAAATATCTATTAGCTTGGCTAATCTAGGCGGAACTGTCTGGCCCAAGAGGCTGAGACTGGGCCGAGTACTGGGCCAAATAGTTGTCTTTTGGGCACTTAGGTAAGCACGGGACCAAAAAAGATGCGAGTCCCAGGAACACTAAAACCTATTGGGGGGACAATTAGCTCCGCAATTTGGCCAACTTGTATTGGCTCTGCAGCTTTGTCTCGGATTAGATATATTGGCGTCATTATAGATGCTAAATTAGCCATGGTTGACTTGGCTTTCATTACACAATGGTCTAGCTTTGCATTCACAGCAACAGCGGTGATTTACATTTTGAGAGACTTAATTAGGTGGTTATCAATCTCCTATGCAAATAAGTCGTTGCCCAATTTCGCGAATAGAGGTAATAAATGCAGAGACTTTCCGGTGATTTTTGCAAACGCTTAATTATGCGCATTGGCAATATTGTCGCAAAAAATTAATTTCTTTGAATCAGGTCCGTTATTGCTGTGATATTTAAAAAGACCGCCAACAAAATCGATTTCGATGTAGATTCGTTACAGACAAGACATCGATGATTTGGTTAAACAATTTATTTAGCTGACTCTCACACAGCCCTGTCTATCGATATATCTGCAGCCCTGGCACAAAAGGCGTGCAGAGTTGTTCTCCAAATTTCCTGTCGCGAATTTTTATTCATTTATAATTAATTGCAAGCCATGGCAGAACTAGACGATTTCTTCGCGAAAAAGGACAAGAAGAAGTCCAAGAACAAGACCAAGTTTGTGACCGCCGACGAGCTGGTGAAGAGTCTGGAGGACGGCAGCAAGCGCGAGGTGGTCAAGCCAAAAAAACCCGAGGCAGTCGCTGGCGGCGTGGCAGTGGTAGGCGAAAACGAGAACAGCGGCACCAATGTGCCAGAGTCCGCCCCGGTGAGTCTGGTGAAATCGCCGCCCGTTAACCACTAATTACCCGAGTGTGTTCCACACCGTTCCACAGGCCGTCGAAGAGGAGTGGAAGGAGTTTGAGGAGGAGCAGCGCAAGGACTACAGCGGCCTGAAGATCGGCCAGCTGAGCACCATGTGAGTTTTTGCCAAACGCCCGTTCAGAGAGCGCGAACAAAGGCCACTTTGAATTGTTGAAATTTCCATTTGACCCCTGCATGTTGCGCAAACCCACTCTCTACAGCTCTTCGGCCCATTCCAGAAATGTCCAGGAATCCGCAGAGGCGCGGGCTGCTCGGGTGCCCTCCGCTCCGGACGGCGGCAGCTACGAAGAGGACGACGAGGACAGCAATGGGTACGACAACGCGGACCCCAGCAAGGAGCGCGTCGGGCACGGACCCTGGAAGAAGGTGATCCCGGCCGAAGAGGTGATGCAGATCCCAGTGCCGGTGGAGGTGGAGAAGCCCTCGTCCAAGACCTATGTTTCACCCGCGCTACGTTACAGCGTAAGTAAAGAGGTCCTCGATCCCGACCGGAATCAGTCTAATTGAACCCTTTGCAGCAGCAGGCCGGAAGCGGACTAGGAGGCGGCTCAATTGGCGGCGCCATGCGTCCACGACGCGCCGCCCCCGACATTACCAACACCGAGTTCTTTCCGACGCTCAGTGCGGCGCGTCCGGAGGAGCAGCGCAAGAAGAAAAACGAACCCGCCTTCGAAGAAGTTCGCCACGGAGGCCGCTTCCAGCGCGTGCAGGAGTCCACGACTGCCCCGGTGGCGGCCTCGAACCGATTCCAGTCGCTCGACGACGAAGCCAGCTAGGTCCAGCCTCTGCCAACGGTGCTGCTGCTGGCCACAGGAACCGCTTTCTACCACAGTGTCCGCTGCCGAGCTCAAGTCATCCACGGGTTCTGCGCCAGCACATGCAGATTTTCTAGGCTTTTTGATTCATCATACCTCCTCCACTGCTACTCTTACCCTAAACCACAAACTACTATTGTTCATTTCGTTTTGCATTTTTGAAGTATGGAATCAATGTAATAGAATACGAATAATAGCCATGCGTTGAAATCCGTTTATAAACGTTACTTTTTTATAAGCTCTCGTGTCTCACTCATCCGTGGCCAGGTCCGCTGGGCTGCTGTTCAGGTAGCTGCAAAATCAGGAGGAATCTGCGTCAATAAGAGAGATCTTCTCTAGCTGGAACGGTGCGCACTGACTTCTCGTTGTACGGCTGTTCCGGTGTGTTGTGGTACGAGGTTAACAGCTTCTTGGCCAGCATCTTCTCCGGGAAGTTGCGGATCAGGTACAGCCAACACCGGATGGTCCTGCAGGGAGTGCAGGACATTAAAGCTCCCATCTGGCAGTTTCACTTACTCCGCCCTCTCTTACTCATTCTGCTCCGTTAATATAGTCTGTTCCTCGCGATCGTAATACTCTGGGTAGTCTTCCAGCTGGTCCAGTTTGCCGAACATGGCCTGGTCCACCTCGTAAACCTCGCCTTCTATGTGGTTCCCCTTGCCCGGGCGGGCCAGCAGAAAAGGAATGTTGTAGCGAGTGCCAACCACCAGGGGAAACTTAATAGCCGTCGTCCCCCTGCACAGAAACCGGGCCTGGCCATTTTCCTTATTGGTGAGCCAGTGATGGTTGGGCTCCCCGCGCTTTAGCGTGCCGTAGACAAAGACCCTCGCCGCCATTCTCAGCATAGCCACTGCGCTTCTGGCGTCGGGCTTATCAAATCTGAGGGGTATCGTGCTATGGAATCCGCCCTGAAGATTGCAGGTCGACGTAACCCGCCCACTCTTCTTCTTGCTGCCATTCGCACCGAATCTAGCTTCTGTACACAGCGAGAAATGAAAGCAATCAAAGGTGGAAAAGTACCAGACATTATAGTTCAGTAGCTCGATATAGCCCAGCTTATGTAAGAGATTCGAGTCGTCAATTACTAAGAATTGCTTCAGTTTATTTGCTTTGTTTGTCGAAAACTATGAAATTACATACTACAATCGCTAAAACCTAAATAATGCGTATGGTACACTGATATGTACATCATTGCCAATATATGCGCGTATATATCGATCAGTACATCTGCGTCTGCAGGTACGGTCTAAAAATGCAACTACGGTAACATAAGAATAGTGGCCGGCTGTCCAGAGCACATTCAAGGAAACGGAGGGAGCAACAGCTTTATTATTAGTTCTGGGCCTCGTAGGTGAGATCGTCCTGGGCCGGGTGCTTGTGGGTCCGGCGGTGGCGCATGATGTACGGATGGGTGGTGGAGTTTTCGTACCCGGACAAGTAGCGCAGGCTGAGTAGGTTCTCCGGGTACTTCTGCAGCAGGTACACCCAGCAAGGAACGGTTCTGATATAAACGGAAATTTGTCAGATCGATTCTCTGAGATGACGTCAGCTCCCAATAATGCTCACCCCTCGCCCACACCAATGTTCATGTCGTGCTTCTCGCGCGTGTAGATCTCCTCGCAGTCCTCCAGGTTGTCCAGAGAATTGAGCATGCGGTCGTCCACCTCGTAGATTTCCCCGGTTACGTAATAGCCCACTCCGGGCTTGTTGAGCAGGAAGGGAATGTTGTAGCGGGTGGCGATCACCAGCGGCAGTTTTTGGGTGGTAGTGGCCTTGCACCAGAACTTGGCGTATCCGTTTCCGGAGCTGGCCAGGATCGAGTTGCTGGGCTGTCCGTACTTGAGGGCGCCGTACACGAAGAGCTTGCTCAGGGCGGAGGAGACTTTCTACAGAATGTTTGGAGGAGTGGGCGTGGTGAGAAGAGCGAGAGAAGTGGGGTTAGGTTAGTGATCTGATAAAAGTGTTTAAACAGGTGGTATCTGGTGTAGCTATGTATATTAATATCAATCAATCGTCTGGCTTATCTGGGATCCGAATATTTTCCACTGGCGAAACCCCCCGCAAACTTGCTGATAAGGTGTTGTCTAGGTCTGCTCATGCTCATCCGTTGTGATTATAGAGGTTCTCAGCGTTTATTTATAAAATCCGAACCGCTTTCTGGGGGAGATGGGATGGCCCTAACCGGTTTCCTGCATTAACACTTTTATTTCTTTTAATTGCCAATTCGTTTATTGTTGCTAATATGGCGTTTTTGGGGCTGCCGTGCGTGCCTCACAAACTGCGCATCAGAAACGCCTCCACCAGGTACATATTTATAAATTGAGGAGTATGTGCGCGTGTTAGCTGCACACATAAATAATTGTTTAAATCGGTCTAATCATTGCAGTAAATGGAGAACACATGCAAGCCCGCAAAGCGGCCTTTAATCAATGGCATTACAAATACTAGACAAGCGTTTGCATCGGAGCATCTTGACAAATCCGCTTACATAACCCCCAGAACAGGCGGCAACACATATGTATATATGTGTACGCCCTCTACCACAGAAATTAAATAAATTATCTATCAACATTCCGATTTGCATTGCCTGTAGCACTTCCTATTTCCATAAACTTAGTGTTGAACAAGATTTCCCACGCTATCCATTCGGGGTTGCCCACTTGCCAAGGACGAAGGAAAAAAGGATACATTACGTATAAAACATCTCACGCGTGTGTAGTGCACTCCCGATTTCGCTTACCTTTGCTTGGCCCATTTTTTCCTGTTTCCTTTATTTTCTGGTCGAACCGCCTTGCAGATAATTAAAATTGCAAATTGCTGCAGTTAGCGAGAGAGAAAAAGCACTTTGGGATTGGGTGCGCAGGAGCTCCAGCGAAAGATACAACAGCACCGATGGACAGCAAAACTCCAACTGAAACGCTTTGGAGAACAATCGGACACGAGTGCTGTCGGCGCAGTTGTTCTTGTTGTTGCTGTTGCTGTTGCTGTTGCTGTTGCTGCTGCTGCTGCTGCTGCTGCTCTGCTGCTGCTGCCGGGCACAGTGGAGCCAACTAGTTATGGTTTGAATTGATGGGTAAATGTATGGAAAATTTGTAATATAGTTTTATATATTTGTTGTACGAAGAAATGTACAATTGTATCTCTATTTAAAATAAACTAGAACTTTACATTTTATGAATAATACACAACATAAATCGCAAATCATTTCAAAAAATTTATTCTAAGTATGTTCTTAAGTGAATTATTTAAAATTTGAGGGAATTAAAAACAAAATATATGTGAGACGTTGCCAACACCAAGAGGCCCGCCTCCCATGGAACAACAACAATTAAAACAAAAACACGCCACACGCGCGAAGCTAAAAATGCCGCCTCTGCTGCCGTCGGCGGCGCTGTCTTTCTCTGCTCTAGCTTTATCTAAGAAATACCCTCTGGTGTGGGTCAGTTGAAATACCCCAATTTTGATAGGCCCCGCAAACATTAATACTATTAAATTCGTGGCTTATCGAAGAACCAGCTGAACACTAAGAGGGGCCCTTGTTAGCAAACACCCTCTTTAAAACCAAGCTCCCTTTTGAGACCCCTCAAAATATTTGTATTCGTTGGCGGCGCCTCTGGAGAACACGTACGCATGTCTTAGCTTCTTCGATTAGCTTTTGTTTCTCCGACGATCTGGTGGCGATCGGATATATATGTGGATAATTTATTCAAACTAATAGCGACGGGCCCTCCATGTGTCCGATCTGTTATAAACAATAACAAAGTAGCTTTGTAATGCGGCATGGTGGGAGCGGCGCTAACAAAACCAGTTGGGGCCCTCTCTTCCGTTCTCTAAGTCTTGGCAGTGCTCTCCCGCTTTTCCCCTGCAAAGGTAAGGCACATAAGTTGCGGGAAACCATTGAGATATTTACCAATTTTAGATGTATTGTGGGTCGGTGATATAAAAATTTTCAATTTGGTCTAGTTATACATAGATGATTGACTCTATTTTGGCTTTATTTCATACCCTTGAGAGTGGAAAAAGTAAGAAAGGCATGGAAGAAATCCTTTTCGACTTTTAAAAGTACATACAAAAATAAATTCTAGATTAGCACCACAAGCACAGTTAATAGTGCCAAGTCCGTCTGTCCATCCGTTTCTACGGATCAATATTTCCCAAAGGTATTCTTTCTATTACAGGTGGTATACATATGTATATGTCTTTCACTTCAACGTTGATCAAAATTTGGACCCATTTTCATGTTAGTTATTTCTAAGTTTTCGCTGACTTGAAAAAAGGGGTCCCATAATTGGACTTCCATAACTTTATCAAATGTAATCCGATTCCAAAGTGGCATGCCTTTTAAGACTCGTGTTTCGATTCTCAAAAAATCTGCATTCAAAATTTTTCATTTAACGTTGATCAAAATTTTGACCCATTTTCATGTTAGTTATTTCTAAGTTTTCGCTGACTTGAAAAAAGGGGTCCCATAATTGGACTTCCAGATTCCATAACTTAACCAAATTTAATACGATTCCAAAGGGGCATACCTCTTACGACTCGCAAATCATTTCAAAAAATTTATTCTAAGTATGTTCTTAAGTGAATTATTTAAAATTTGAGGGAATTAAAAACAAAATATATGTGAGACGTTGCCAACACCAAGAGGCCCGCCTCCCATGGAACAACAACAATTAAAACAAAAACACGCCACACGCGCGAAGCTAAAAATGCCGCCTCTGCCGCCGTCGGCGGCGCTGTCTTTCTCTGCTCTAGCTTTATCTAAGAAATACCCTCTGGTGTGGGTCAGTTGAAATACCCCAATTTTGATAGGCCCCGCAAACATTAATACTATTAAATTCGTGGCTTATCGAAGAACCAGCTGAACACTAAGAGGGGCCCTTGTTAGCAAACACCCTCTTTAAAACCAAGCTCCCTTTTGAGACCCCTCAAAATATTTGTATTCGTTGGCGGCGCCTCTGGAGAACACGTACGCATGTCTTAGCTTCTTCGATTAGCTTTTGTTTCTCCGACGATCTGGTGGCGATCGGATATATATGTGGATAATTTATTCAAACTAATAGCGACGGGCCCTCCATGTGTCCGATCTGTTATAAACAATAACAAAGTAGCTTTGTAATGCGGCATGGTGGGAGCGGCGCTAACAAAACCAGTTGGGGCCCTCTCTTCCGTTCTCTAAGTCTTGGCAGTGCTCTCCCGCTTTTCCCCTGCAAAGGTAAGGCACATAAGTTGCGGGAAACCATTGAGATATTTACCAATTTTAGATGTATTGTGGGTCGGTGATATAAAAATTTTCAATTTGGTCTAGTTATACATAGATGATTGACTCTATTTTGGCTTTATTTCATACCCTTGAGAGTGGAAAAAGTAAGAAAGGCATGGAAGAAATCCTTTTCGACTTTTAAAAGTACATACAAAAATAAATTCTAGATTAGCACCACAAGCACAGTTAATAGTGCCAAGTCCGTCTGTCCATCCGTTTCTACGGATCAATATTTCCCAAAGGTATTCTTTCTATTACAGGTGGTATACATATGTATATGTCTTTCACTTCAACGTTGATCAAAATTTGGACCCATTTTCATGTTAGTTATTTCTAAGTTTTCGCTGACTTGAAAAAAGGGGTCCCATAATTGGACTTCCATAACTTTATCAAATGTAATCCGATTCCAAAGTGGCATGCCTTTTAAGACTCGTGTTTCGATTCTCAAAAAATCTGCATTCAAAATTTTTCATTTAACGTTGATCAAAATTTTGACCCATTTTCATGTTAGTTATTTCTAAGTTTTCGCTGACTTGAAAAAAGGGGTCCCATAATTGGACTTCCAGATTCCATAACTTAACCAAATTTAATACGATTCCAAAGGGGCATACCTCTTACGACTCGTGTTCTGATTCTCAAAAAATCTGCATTCAAAATTGTTCATTTAACGTTGATCGAAATTTTGACCCATTTTCATGTTAGTTATTTCTAAGTTTTCGCTGACTTGAAAAAAGGGGTCCCATAATTGGACTTCCAAATGCCACAACTTTACCAAATTTAATCCGATTTCAAAGTGGGATACCTCTTACGACTCGTGTTTTTATTCTCAAAAAATCTGCATTCAAAATTTTTCATTGAACGTTGATCAAAATTTGGACCCATTTTCGTGTTAGTTATTTCTAAGTTTTCGCTGACTTGAAAAAAGGGGTCCCATAATTGGACTTCCAGATTCCATAACTTTACCAAATTTAATCCGATTCCAAAGTGGCATACCTCTTACGACTCGTGTTTTTATTCTCAAAAAATCTGCATTCAAAATTTTTCATTGAACGTTGATCAAAATTTGGACCCATTTTCATGTTAGTTATTTCTAAGTTTTCGCTGACTTGAAAAAAAGGGTTCCCATAATTGGACTTTATGTTTTTATCGATTTTAATTTCGTCTATCATCTAACTGTTCCAGGAAAGATCAAAAAATAAAAAGGAAAATCAACAGAGATAAATAAAGAGATATATTAATTTTGGCTTACAAAAGTTTGTTTTCTTTCTTGTTTTTTCAACATTTTTATAAAGTAAGCGCCATTCGTAAAATTGATTTACATGTTCACAGAAAAGAAAATAAAAAAAGTATTGTCCTAAGTCTGCATTCAGATAATACGTATGTCTAGCTTGAGATTTACAAAAATTTGATTACAACCGTTTTGTGGATTAAATACTTAAAATTAAAAATTTGTTTGTAAATGTATATATAATTTCATAACATATAATATTTTTAACAAACCTCAGGGAACTCCTCCGGGACATAAGCGGGACCTAAAACAGCCCCTCTTGATTGCAGATGGCTTTCCAAGGTCAATAATCCCTGGAACAAATTCCTTTGCGGGTATAATGGTGGTGCTTGTGACGACAGGCGCACAAGTTGGGAGCGAAGCAGTAGGCTTGTGGTCCGCAATTGCTGGGGGGATATTCGAGGATTAGCCCTGCGAAATTTCAACGAGCTAACTCACTTACTGATCACAGATGGGAACGCATTGATTTCCGTGGATCAGACTGGCCCTTAATTCATAGCCCTGGGCACAGATACACTGACCATCAGAGGAGCAGCTGCCATGGGTGCAGCGCCTGCGGATGACATCGGATAGAAACATTTCACACTGCCCCAATTTAGGCCCTACTCACCCGAGACAGGGGTCCAGCAGTCGGGCTGCCCTGTGACGGCACTTTTGGGACAGCGGATCGAAGTAGTAGTGCCTGTCCTTGCGGCACACACACAGGTCGGGGGCAGCGCAGTAGCCACCGGCTTCACGACATCCGGGCAGACACTCGGCGGCACAGACCACTCCGTCCGGATTCCCGGCCAAGTACTGATCGGCACAAGGACAGGGCCCGTCCTCGAAACAGACCCGCTCCCGGCACACGATGTTGCAGCGCCTCACGCACTGGTGGGTGTTGACAACTAGCATCTCATAATTAGAACACAGCGGTGGTGGTTCGTTGATCTCCCAGTATCCGTAGTCGTAATAGTAGTGGCCCTGCACCAGAGTGCACAGCAGCAGCTGCAGGAGGACCATCCGACGCGCCATCATGGTCAATTGTAAGTGATCTTTACGGCGGACTCTGTTCCAGCAACGAGAGTGAGAGTGAAAGTGCTTTTCGCAGGCGGCGCAATTTGTGTGCGAATTTCATTACGGCCTCGGTCACGATCGCTGTGTACAAACAGAGGGCGGATGACGCAATGGACCCCAGCGGGCGCGGTTAACTGATAACCGCTCTACCGGAGATCGGCTCGTTCGGAATTACACATGATCAGAGCATTTGCATCGATCGAATCGGTCCAACGTCGCATTACTCACGAATTCGTGGAGGGGGTGTTGCTGGAAGTCTGATCCCATCCAACTCAAACGTGTGTGCAGAGAGTCAGGGAGAGCACTTTTGGGACCGATTCTGGTATGTCTGGATTTCCACGCTCTCGATGTGGTGGCGGCGGCGCCCACACTGGAAAATGTGAGTTTGAATCATTTTTGTTAAAGACAATATTTTTACCCATATTTTTACAATAGTTCAAACAGCAAGGGCAGAAAAAAAAAACATCTAACTATAGTTGGTAGAGCCTCCCAAGAGAGGGTAATTTCACAAAAGCGCTTTCTTACTAGTTTGAATTAATGTCAATACTTGGCTTCCCAGTTTTAAAATAAAGTTTTGAATTTTCAACGTATCGCATATGTTTAAAAAAATGAAGTTCTTATATATAACTAGTGTTTGAAAAACACATTATTTGTTTATTGAAAAATATTTCTTTGATTCCGACTATTTATATTAAATTTAAATATTTTGTAGTTTGATTAGGTTTAAATATTAAAATATATTTAACATTCTCCAGAGTTTTCAATATAATGTACTAATATTTAAACCTTTTAAAATAAGTTAAATAAAATAAACAACAAATTCAAACCTTTGTTGAGATATAATTATTAAAATTCTTCCAGTGCTCCGATTGGGGCCTGGCTCCGTCTGGAACTGCAGCTGGCTTTAATGGGCCGCCCCATTCATTCAGTCGGTCGGTATCGGCGAGAGATGACGCAGTGGGGAAACGGCAGCGGACAAGGGGACGCCTGCGCGAACGGAAGTCCAGATCCAAAGTGTGGCACAAAGTTGCCAAATATTCGCTCTGGGGATTAGCGAAAACGCCATCGAGGCAGAGTTCTTTCTTCGCGATTCTCTTTCTTCGCTCTGACAACGGCTACGAATTGAGTACTTGACTGCACCGCAAACTGGGCGGTCTGCGGCCTCGCCCTCCCCCATTTCCCCAGCCACCCTCCGTGCGCGTGTGAGTGGGGTGAATAACATAAAACAGACGGCAGAAGGCGAGCGCATAACATCGAACGGCGAAAGCATTAAATAAACAATTCCATTTCGGGCTGGTCAACTGGGAGGAAGTTCTGGCCCCCGCGCTGCTGGTGGTGGCAAGCGGTGCCGCGGTAGTGGTGGGTGTGGGATGTGCGTGCCCAGACAAAGCCGAAGCGCTTAGAGTCTATTATCTATCCGGCAAGTGCTGACGCGTTGCTGTAGCCCGCCGACGATTCCCAAATCTTTGCACTGTGAAAAGTATCAAGCATCGAAATGTGCTACGTTATCATTACCAGCGCCAGTCTGGTGTGGTTCCTCTGCTCCCTGGTGGCGGACATGCTCTTCGCAGTGGCCCTGGTCACACCCAAGTGGCTGGTGGGCCCCGCCCAAGCTACCAACTCCAGCTTAAATCCCCATCGCCAGTCCTCAGTCGGCATTTACACGCGCTGCAAGGTATTGCAGGAGGGGGGCAAATTCCACTGTGGACGCTTTGACTTGGACGGACTCGCCACGGACGGCAGCGTTTACCCTGGAGAGTGGAAGGCTGCCATGATCTTCGCCTCGCTGGGATTCACCCTGCTGTCGGTCACGGTGCTGCTGACTTTGCTTACCTGCTGTCGCCAGTCGGCCTTTGGAAAGAGCATCCACAACATGACGGCCTGCGCCCAGGTGGTAGCAGGTAAGAGCCAAAAAGAATCCGTTCCCGAGTCCGCTGGTGTAATAATTGTATTTTCAAGGAATAAGCGTAATGCTGGCCCTCTTTCTGCATCCGATAGGCTGGCGAGCGGCCAGGGTTCAACGTTTGTGCGGTTCAGATGCAGAGCCATTCTATCCCGCCGACTGCAGTATAGGTACTTGAGTGCAACTCACTGTTGAAACTAACTAAATGTAACCCCCACAGGAATATCTTTCTACTGCGGAGTCATCGGCGTACTCCTCACTTTCGCCGCCGCCGGCATCAGTCTCAAGGCGGAGTCTTCCAACATGCGCACCCGCGTTTGCAGACGCGTAGAGGCGGGCAGCAAACTGGTCTGCATTCCGTAGCTGCCTCCAGATGCAATAAGCACAATCTCTGACTTAGAGCGAGCATACTTAACTTCATTCTTGAATTAACTTTAACATTAGCATAAATAAACGACTAACTTTTCTACAGTATGAATATAAGTTGTGGGTGGATATTCCTTTGGATTTACTTGTTCCGCTTGCCCTTAGATTTACCAGGAGGCTTGCCCTCGACATCTGGCTTGGCCTTGGGTATGTATACGCCGTGGTTCGTCTTTTTGAGGTGCGCAAACAGCTTGTTCTTAGAGTCAAAGATGAGCCGGCAAGTGACGCAGGTGTGTTGCGGCTTGGTAGGGTCAAGATCTTCATCTCCGCTTTTAGAAGCATTAGTAGGGGCCGCTTTGACCTCATTAGGGATTGGTGCCTGATCCACTTGATCTGCAGGTTTTGCCTTGCTCGCTCCAGACTTTTTGCTTTTGCTCTTCTTGGCCGCCTTTTTGCCCTTACTCCAGTCTTCATCCTCTGATTCGCTCATGGTAGGCTTTGAGTCTATGGTTTCATCTGGTCCATCGCTGACTTCCTCTTGCACTTGCTTGGCGGCTGCTTTCCTGGACTTTTTGCTCTTTTTGTTGCGCTTGGGCAGCGTAGATGCCTCTTCGCTTAGTGCCGCATCGTCGGATAACTGGTCATCAGCAATTTGTATTTCGTCCAACGACTCCTCCACTCCATTCAAACTGTCTTCGTGAGATGCATCGTTGAAAGCCTCTTCCTCTTCCTCCATCTCCTGACACAGTCGTTCGACATTTTCCTTGTGCTTCTTGCTCTCCTCGTGATTGGCCCGTGCCTTCGCGTTTTTAAATGTCTTATTGCACGCCACGCAGTACAGATCGTCCACATACTCCACCTCGAATTTCTCGGCCTCCGGATCGATTTCTTCCTCTGAATCCCCGCCGACCTCTTCGTTCTCGTCTTCATCAGTATAGTCGTCCGACTCGCTGCCGTACTGCTGCTCCAACTGTTTTAGCTGCTCCTCGTAGCCTTCATTAAATACTTTGTTTTTCTTGACGGCCGCCAGTTCCTCTTGGCGCTTTTTCAACTGCTCCTTGCGCTTCTGCTCCTGCTTCAGGCGATTGGCCTCGGCCCGCTCCTCAAGAACGCGTCTATAGGCCTGGACTCGGCGATCCCGCTTCCGCACAAAGTTCACCAGGTTGCGAACCTAAGGTGAAAATAAGCAACCGAATTTTAAAAATTTTAAAAGGTTGAATAAGGGTTGACTCACCTCTTCGTTGCGCTCCTTACGAGCAGCCTGGACGATCTTCTTCATCTCCTTCTCCACCTTGCGCAAGATGAAGCGTTCCTTAATCTCGCGCACGTCGTACGGGCACAGCCACTCGTAGGTCTTCCTGGTGCAGTAGGCTTGCCAGAATGCGTAGAATGGACCCACCACCTCCTCGTAGCTGCTGTTCGAATGGCCGAAGTCCGGCGCCATTCCCAGTCGGTCGTCCGCGTCCATGAACTCCATGTCCTCCATTGCGATATTTACAAAGACGTTAGTGTAGACGCGGTAGAATCCCTGTTCGTCGTCGCCGTAGCCTTTGTAGCAGGAGCTGGTGAAGAACTGGAACACGTCCAGGCAGTTCTCCGCGTATTCAGAGTTCTTGCCGCGCAGGATCTGCTCCCGGTGATTGTCGTACCAGGATCGCTCCTGCGGATCAGAAAGTACCTCGTACGCCTGTTGGATCAGCTGGAAGCGCTCCTTAGCCTCCGCCAGGCTGTCCGGATTCTTGTCCGGATGCCAGCGGAGGGCCATTTTTCGGTACGCGGTCTTGATGTCCCCATCCTTGGCGTCCCGTGCGACGTCGAGCTCCTCGTAGTAGCAGCGCATGTTCTCCAACGAATAATTTTGACAGCTGATGGAAATTGTATCGAGCCATCGAAATCGATATCATCTCACAAATGCGTTGTAGCTATCAGTGTTGAACAGCGCTGCAGGGAAAGATTAAATTTCCGATTAAATAGCTTACTTTTAGGCTGAATGCGTTAAAATTGTAGTTTTAATGTGAAATTATTCTTTAGAACGACTTCAACGCCATTTTTCCGCATATTTAAGTTGTTCATGTTCATTTCAAAAAGTAACGGGAGAAGGCACATCCTCGTAGTCCTTCGTAACTGCCGTCATTAGCTTTTTTCCCTTCGACAGCGACGGTCCTTTTCCTTCCGTTCGGGTCCGCGCATCTTTTGTTCACTTAACTCTGTCGCACGCTTTTCTCGCTATTAGCAAAGTTAACGCATCGCATACCCATACACAGCTTCGGAATATAAAAAGTTAAAACTCGATAAATTCAAGTACAAACGGACATTTGAATGCCAACGGAACTTGCAGTTTTTTCCAAAAGCAATTGTGCTTTTTTCTTATAATTTGCAAAAACATTTTCAAATAATTTGCATGAAACACAAATATACCGACTAGAATCGAAACTTGAATATTGCCAATCAGCCATAACGATTCAAGCAAAGTGCCAAAACATCGTATAGCATTCGAGTCTGCTCCCGAAAAGGAAAATAGCTTTACATAAAATTTACGGTTACGAGGGATTTCCAGTTACAGTTACACACAGACAACCCACACAGGCTCAGCCACTCACACAAAGTTACTTCACCACACGGCTTGAATTCGCTTAAGGGGGGAGAGGGGATGGCCCCAGTCCTTGAAGCTTCTCAGCCTACGAACAACCCCCATCAACATTGGGTGCGTCGGTACTCGGTCTCAACGTAAGGGAAAACGGAAAAAAATAACCGTCAACAAAAAACAAACAAACACAAACACAGGAAGCCGACGCTGTCCGTGTGTGTGGTTGTCGTTTCTGGTATAGATTTACCGTTCCCTTAATCTTCTGTGTGTGTGCTTGTGAGCGCCACAATAAAAGGAGGAGCAAAGGATATTATGACGTTGTCAGCCGCATTTGCGAATACGGTAATTTCCCTTAAAGTATCAAGACAACCCAGAATTCCACACAAACTATAGAAAATGTGACCTCGCTAAAAAGCTATTCGGCTTTTGTGCCGTCATAAATGGATTTCCTTATCAGCCCAAAGTGGTCCCAGGAGCCCGCTTTGTTCTATTGTTGCGGATGAATTGCATTTGCAGCTCGCTTAATGACCTCTTCCCTTTCAGCTACTACAATCCGTCCACTTTGGTTAAGCCTAGAATAACCTTACACCATGTTTGGATCCAAGCTACGCTCCTGGATGGAGACGCACATCGTGCGTCCTCGCAAGAAGGGCAGCAAGCACAAGCAGGCGGCCTCGGAAGCGGGCAGCTCATGCTCCAACCACTCCAAGAAGGCGGGCACCCTGCCTCCGCAGGGGAGCAACTTAACCAGTCCGGTCTTGACCAGTAGCGGGAGTCATAGTATCGCTAGTCCGGTGCGGAGGCGCGAGGTGTCGCCCATCCAGTGCCACGTAAGTGGAGGGTTACAGGAGTGTTGACAAACCGCTTACGTCTTTCACATTTCCGTAGCCACCCAGTCGTCGCTATGGCTGGCAATCCCCCGACGAAGACTCGTACGTCATAACCTCGCCCAAGTCGGACAATCTGCTCTACGCCCCGCACTGCTATCAGCCACAGCCGCAGGCACCGCACCACTTGAGTGTGCCCAACAGCAAGGACAACTCCTGCACAGAGAAGTCTCCCATTAGGGTGAACTGCTCCTCGTCCTCTATATCGTCGTTGTCCTGGTCGACAGGCTCGAAGGAGCCCTCTTCCGGCAAGCAAGCTACTTTGAGGGAGCAGTTCTTTAATGGGGAATACCATATTCCAAAGGAAGAGGAGGTTGAGTACGAGGAAGTGGGCGCTCTACTGCTCCGTCCGCCGGCTCCCATTCCAGCGGACCAGCAACGTCCGCAGTCTGAGAACTTGAGCTCTGTGCGGCTGATCTACGAGGAGGAGCCCAGGCAAAGCAACAATCATGTCCGATACGGTCGCTTGCTGCCCTCCAAGCTGGCTCAGCTTGGCGAGTCCCTGGACAATTTGAAACCTCCAATTCCACCGGCTCCGCTAGCTGGCTCGCGGATGCGAACTCCCCGGGGAATGCAGCGCAGCAATATCATGCCGGGACCCCGACCACACAGCTTACCCTCTCCGGAGAGCGCCTACTCCACGGGCTACTCCACCGACGGCACATCGCCGTGCGCCGCCAGCAACTACAATCCACCCGAGTACTATATCAACATGCGCTCGGGAACACACTACTTTCCCAAGAGCGTCAACTCGCTGGCCATTGAGGCGCAGCGCTACAAGTTCGGCCTGAACCGCATTGAGGAGATGTCGCCCATGGATCCGCTGCCCAAGAGCAACTTCACAAGTTCCAATCATGGCCTGGAGTCGTCGCCCAGTCCACTGGCTGTGCGGCAGCAGCCGAAGATTTTTGAATGTAAGTTTCGGTGTTGTTAACCCGGCCGCCGGAAAACGAGCAATTAACCCACTGAGATTCACAACTTAACTGAAGTTGCATGCAACACTGCGTGTTTCTCCCCTCTATTGCAGCTCCCTCACCAAGACAGCGCTGTCGCATAAGAACAAATCCCTGGTACAACACAGGAGAGCACTTGCCAGCCTCCTCTGGCCCCACTCGCATTGAGCTGGATGCCACCAGCACCACCTCTACGACCTCGTCGGGCATTAAGTCGAGCAATGAGCTGGAAGTTCCGGCGGCCAAAACAACAGCAAACAAAGCAGGAAAGGCAGCCACTTATACACCAACCCCCAACTGCCGAGGCACTCCCAGCAAGACGACCAGAGTGGCGGGTGTGGATACTTTTGGGGGTGGGACGGTTGGTGCACCTGGAGCTGGGGTCGCTTACGAGTCCGAGGGCTCTTCGTCGTCGACTGAAGTGGAAAATCTGCATGCAGCACACACCATAAAGCGACGACACCTGGAGCAAGCGGAGACGACAACAACTTCAGCTCCTGTGGCAGCTGGTGGAGGAGCTGGAGCTACCACTACCTCCTTTGTGCTTAGTGATGACGAGGCCACCCTAAACGAGATGATTGGGAAATTTGACGAAAGCTACATATATGAAAAGGAGACTGACATACTTAGGTAAGCTGCAGTCCTCAACTGCTTGCCAACTCAACTCAAGTGGCCTGCTCATTTTCGTTTGGTCTCTTAGCAGCGATTCGGATTTCACTGACTGTTGTGCCTCGGAGCTGGATACTGGACGGGATGCGGGCGATGAGTGCGACACGGATGAGCTATTGGACATTGACTTTATAGACACTTCGTCCATGCAAGAGATGGTACTCGACCGCCAGGATCTGTCGCGCAATTTGGGCAGCTGCCATTACTATTCCAATCAACCCATCAGTCCCGTAATTAAGCGCAAGGCTTCGACCCGCTCACGTCGCAAAAGTGGACAGGAGACTGGTGAAAACTCGCAACAGCACCGACGTAAGCGGTTCCTTAAGACGCGCAAAAAGAGTAGCGAAAACCGCGAGAACCGCGAAAAGCTTTCCTCGTCGCCGTTTTGTGAGCCTCGCGGGTCTCGAAGCGTGGGAGGCACGCCCGTCTGTTTGCGCCGTAATTTGCTGGGTCCAAGGGAGAGGTAGGGGGAAATTGATGATATTTTTTATACAGTGTATATACAGTATCTTATTTACAGGATCTACAAGACTTCACCTTTGTCAAACCGATCTAATTCGCTGATATTTGGCAGCATCAATGAAAAGAATACACTCACTATTGCAGAGAGCGAGAAAGCTCTTTTTAAGGCAGACTTGGAGGCTGATATAAAATACAAACAGCTCATCATGGAGGCCGAGTCCCTGCTTGAGTCCTTGAAGAACAGCTTGCAAAGGTGAGAAAAAGTAGTTTTTCTCTATTATACTCCACTTATCAATTATTAATAGTATCCCTAGGGACACACCGGTCGCTAGCCCGAGGCGCTTGAATCCTTTGGCTAACAAGCGCGTGGAGATGCTGAAAAACAGTGAGGTGGACTCCAAGAAACAGGCGTCGCTTCAAAACTCAGTTCCGCTGGAGCATGACTTAGCCGCTGCGATCAATAAGCGCATAGAGATGCTAAAGTTTGAAACTTCTTCTACTGCTTCGCCGCCCAACAGTCCGAAACTTGGGCGTTGCAGTCCTCGGAAGACTCACCTGACAAACTTTATGAATCAAAATGCTCCGCCAGAGCTTCCGCCCCGCAAGATAAATGGCAACACTCCCACTGCTCCCCTCTCACCACAGCTGCAGCTCAATGGAAGGCGTCTTCAGGAGAGTCCCAAGGGCAAACGACGCACTATGATGGTGACATCCACATCCACGACCACAACAACGGTGATCAGCTTCAACGGCAGCGACTCGGAGATGGAATGCATTGCAGTGGAAGATATTAGCAATCACAACTATTTGCCGCCGAACATCAAGCCGGAGGCCCCAATCCACAGTAAACAGGTGCCGGAGCCTCAGATTAATAACAATTTCTATTGCCCACATAGTGAGCCCTTGAAACGCAAGGTATACAGGGGCAGCTCATCGTTCGAGCGAATAAAGAAGAACTTTGACTTGGAATTGGGTAAGAAATTTAATCTTATATTGTTTCTCTTCTCTTTACTTAACAAAATCAAATACAGATGCAAACGGACGGAGCAAGTCGAGCGAGCGTTCGCAAATTAAGCTTTCGGCCCCCGTGTCTGCCAAGAGCTCTATGCAAGACGTGACCGTTGACGAGGCCAAGGGCCAGGCAATGGAAGGTAGTAACTGCAAGCAACAGCTCATATTGAACACCATTGTTGATCTGAAGCGCAGCTTGGAGCATCAGAGCCATCAGCTGACTGGCCTAAATGTCGAATAGAACTGAGTAAACAAACTATTAAGACTAAGATCATCATCATACTTATTCATCATGCATTATCTAGACAGTAAATAGCTCGCTAAGACCTAAGCTAACAGTCCAACCGAATCTCTCAGACTAGACACCGAAACTGAGCGCAATAACTTTCTAACTGATAAGGAAAGACGATTATTTACACGTATGATACACTACGTAAGGGCCGTAATAGGAAATATGGACTGGTGCAGAAAGTTATCACAAAATATCTGTAGCATGTAGCAAATTGTTTTATATTATAGCCGTATACATATAGCCGGCTCACATAAACCCAGAGGTTTTCCTTATTTAAATATGTTAAGTAAAGTTTTCAGTTTCGTAAAGTACGTTAATATATTGATGTACCATAGACCTTAGTTGAATCATATCTAAAGATTTTTATATTAATTGACATTCTGTTACAAATGATAAGTTTAAGTTTGTTGTTTGACTTAATGAATACTTTCTTTTAAAAACACTTTTTTATTTTCAAAGATATCCTAGAGTTGTCTTTATAATTTAGTTAAGATGCGCCGAGTTGAAAATGTGTTTAGAACACCAAATACTTGGCGTGTCCCATGTAACTATACTACCAACTCATACTATCCAACCATAGCTTGAATACGTTGATATTAGTCCCCATATTAAACTACACGAGTCAATAAGTGGTAAAATTTCTTAGTTACTTATCGAAAAATTGGGCGTGCGTTAATGAGGAACCAAAATCCATTCCAATTAATGCACTAATCCCATTAATACTTCGCCTATATCATCTATTGATAGACTTCGTAGAATATTTTACTTAATCAGCATTATCACAAAAGTATTTAAAATTAGTCCTTTAAGTAAGCCAAATTACTGTCCATCCAAACAAATATTGTTTAGCAAAATTGTTTGTAGACTAATGAAAAAAAACATTGTTCTACTATCTTGTTTTTATAGTTAAGTTGAAGATTGTTTTTTTTATTGCTAGATATTGGATAAATCTAGCCTAATTCGAATTACATTTCATTGGTCACCATAAATTTTTAATATGTTGTATTGGTAAAATTTATAATTATTTCCAATTGAAGATAAATTGGTTGTAATTTGGATTGATTGACTCAACTAATTATGAATTATGTATTGTGTTGTGTACCCAATTAATATGCATATAGACGCTGTAGAACCTACACAAAGAATACATAATCTAAGTCAATACTGTAACGTGATAATAAACTTAATGAAAACGCCAAGACCAAAATCCAACAAGATCCAAAATCAATGGGGATCCGCAGAGTAGTAAGTATAAAGTAATTGCATATATCTAAAATGTTTGTGGTTTATTGTTTCACACCTGTGTACCTTGTAGCTTTGCGTTCTTGTTTCTCATTGAAATTAAAATTGCAATTAGTTTTCGTTTTCGCTTACGTACTAGAGCTTGCTTTTAGTGCCTTAGGGCAGGAGGGGTAGTGGACCGGTATGCTGTGTTAAATTTACTTAATTAGTTTCACCCGCGACGCGACACTTGAACATCGAACACCGGGCACGGACCGCTGGCCCTGCAAACGAAAGACGCAAGCCGCGAAATCAAAAATTCGAACTCGATGTTGTGAACTTTAAATGGGTTGCTAATGCGTAGTTCCGCGAGACCACTGAGACGGCTTGGAACTGCAGCGGTCATGGTAATTTATGCGCCCTAGATTCCAAATATTCAATTGGTTTTCCGATTAAAGCGACCTTAAGACAATCCAACGAGCTTTTGATACGACAATTTACAAAGGGCAACTTGGAAAAGACTGCTTATATTCACTCTCATGACAGGGATTTACTCCCATTCGGGATGGGGAGAAACCCAGTACCACGTGTGGTATGAGTGATATTTGTTGGGGCTGCATAGCCTTTATCCTATCAGCCGACACATGTAATTATTGAACCCATGTATTTTAAACGTCAATAAAGGACCAATATTTTGAATTGCCTCCTATCTTGATTGCTCTTCTACGCTTGATCGACAGGCCAGTCATCGTGGAATTTCCAGAGACTCCGACCCGATCCCCGTTTCTTGTCATCTCGATCATTATTATGTCTGGCGGTAAAAATAAACTCGTAGTGTTCTAAAAATCCCCAGAAAAACATCGACAATGGAAAATTAGCAGACAGATCATGGACTGGCCGTCCGCTGCCTCCGCAGCTGCTAATTATGCAAATGGAGGCAGGGAGCGGACGAGGCGCGGAACGACTGCCTGGTGGAATACCAATTGACCAGGCCACGCTTGAAACATCAAATCAGCACTAAGTGGGCTCGAAAGAGCGGCTATAAAATGGTCGGTGGCCCAGTGAAGGAGGCGCGACCTGATCTGGCTGCGCTGGAGATGCGCCCTATATGGCCAAACTGGTTCGGCCTCCACAATCTGTCCGCAGTGGCCAGGAGGCGGAATGCAATCCGAAAGGCTGAGGCCGGTCCCCAAGCTGCGTATTTGGTTTTCGCTTTGTTTTGCACTAAGAAGTGTTTAAAGGCACTTTCAAAGGAATGCTGCCAGTAAACGGCAAAAAATAGTATTTTGCAAATTGTTAAAAATTTTACAAAAAAACAGGAATGAATTACTTCTGAACAGGTATGAAACACATTCTTTGGATATCGGGCATGATTATTTAAAGCGTACACTTTTAATAAATATGGTTATTGAGTTATTTTGTGATATTTTACCCGGTTCTTCTATTTGTAGATAATCGTAATACCAAATTCGAAAACCCATTTTTCAGTTTTTCAACGATTGCTCACTTTTTAGGAACTGAAGGATTTCCGGTAAGGGTATTGCCATATGCGACTTTGTGCTCTTCCCGCGGAGTGAACAATTGAGTGGGGATCTGAGGCTGCAGTGCAGCTTTCGATCTCAAGCGATTAGCGCGCTGAAAGCTTTGAGAGGCAGGGGCTAAGTTGTTGTCGTTTTTGTTAGCCGTCATGTTGACTGTTGTGAGTTGTTGCTGCTTTTTAACGTCTTTGTCGATTATTGTTATTATTATTGAGACTCTTGTTGTTGTCGACGCGCTTGGTTTTGGCCGTAAAATGTTACTTTAGTGTTGGCTTGGCCCGCCGGCCTCTGCCGCCGTCGCAGTGGCCGCGCAGCTGCGTCGCAGTAACCGCTGTTTTTAGCCATGAAGGTCATACCCAGGTGTGTGGCATTCAGATTCACCTGAGCCCGGACCGGGCCCGTCTGTCCGAATCCGAGTCGGGCCAAGCCGAGCTGCTTGCGCTCAGCCCCAGGCAGGTGAGGAGCTGGCAGCGGGGAGTGGTGTGGGGTGTGGGCACGTTGTTGTTTTGGCAGTTATGAAACTAGTCCAATGACTCGCCGCCTGTGTGTGTGCAAGCCAGCTCCGAGCTTTTGCCTTTGCCTTTGCCTCCTCTTCTTGTAAGCATGTAATTACCCACACTGGTGCACACAGGGCGTATGAGTGATCTGCGGTATGGGCCTTTTGTGAAATGAACACAGCTTTGAACCAAATGCATGTCGTTTGTTGGCCTCTCGTTTCTTTTGGCCAGTTCTCAATGCTGCGTCAGTCAATTCTTCAGAGTTTCGCAAGTTGGGGACAAATTCGCGCAATATTAAATTAATTGACGCCTCCACCGGAGGGGGTTGTGCGACGGGCGATGGGGATCGGGATGGAGGTCGAGATGGAGATGAAGAGTCGCCAAACTGAGTTGACAAAGGAAAAAGCCCCGTCATGCGGCAGTGTGCAAAAATTGGCTCATTCTGCTGCGTAGCTGATTGTCCGGTTCTAATTTCCAGCATCTCATCGATGGATTCGTGGGCTACTATCGAGCTCTTTTTGAAACCCTTTTGACTGCGTCTTTCCAAACAGGTCACAGTTGCCTGCTTGGAAGTGACACTCACCTCCAAAGAACTTTGGCACGATAAATAACTTTTAGCTTAATAAATTTTATTTTCATAATAAATTAAAATGTTTGAAAGCATTATTTGACACTTGAAAATTATGGCATCAGTTATAAAATGGATGTTAAAATTGTATGATCAGTTTGATCATAATAACACTTAAGCTTTTCCTTCTGTGTAGAACTTCCCATCCACTCGATTAACCTGTTCCGGGTTTGAACCTTTCTTGGTTTAAGTGCCTCCGTTTTGAAAAGCCCCTGACGTCACGGCAGCTCTGCGAACTTGGCCCACCTTTAAGCGAGTGTGAGTTCCTCTTTATTGTGTGGAGTGGGTCAAGCTAATTAATTTCGAGGGGGCTCAATTAGCGCTTGCTCCCATTCAACCCGAGATGAAGTTGACTGCTGGTGCATCCCCCTGAGGCCGAGATTCGGGTTTTGGGTGCGGAGATTGGTATTGGGAAGCTACCTGCGCAGAATGTTCGTGAATGAATATCTTTGCCGTGATTTAGCGCTCTCTGTAATGTCTGCCGTGTGAGCTCAAGCTCGACTCGGCCGTGTGTGAGTGTGGAATTTCGAGTTTTTGGACTTTGCACCAGTGGCTAGCCATGAACCGACGTCGCCGAGCTGGCCGCCAACACAGTCCGAGCCCCCGCCAATCCCCGCGGGATCGTGAGCGTTGTTTGCGCTTCGCTATTCATCTATTGCGGCTCACAGATGGGCCGTGGCTGGGCGTGTGGACAGGGCTCTAATTATTTAGCAACGTGACGCACCTGCCGACAGCATAATGCGGAATTCTCGGGCCCCGATTTGGCTCCAGAACAGAACAGCAGCCATATCGGAAAGCCATCGATCGGCGGCCATAACGAGACCAGCATCCGCGAATGGAAGCAGGAAGTCGGTTACTGGGGGAGGCGGCGACGACCCTAACGGAAAATAAATTAAGCGCTATTAGCTAATCCAGTCGCAGTTCGATTCGGTTCCAGGCAAGATCTTTCAGCTTCCGTCTGCCTACGTCAATCTGGGGTCAAACGGAAGTGTTTATCAACGTTTTCGGCCCTCTCATTCCAATCTCTGTTGGATTTGGCCGGAGTGCAGTTATTAATTAATTTCTCGTTTCGATTTGCATGCCGAGTTATTTTCGGATCGCGGCAGCGGCACGTGATAAAATTTGATTCCGAGTTTGTTTCTAAAGCTGCTGCGATTAGTTCAGCTCAATGCTGAAGAACAGCAGCTTCAGCCTTGGGTACTCGGACCTTGGGCAGTACCGAAACGCTTGACCAGTTACAAACGGCCCAAGCTGCTGACTCACGCCGACTCCGACTTTCTTTAGTCGCTGCTGGCTTATGCTAATTCCGGGAGACTGGAACTGGAAACCCGGGGAGACTTGAGACGATTCTTCTGCTCGACCGCTCAAGGTTCAGATGCTGCCATACCGGGCGGGGTCAATAAACGAAATCGAAACAAAGCAGCAAAGCCAGAGTATCGATCTTCGCTGAGTTATGACACTTCCGTCTATCTCCGCCACTGTCCGGGGTTAAGGCGAGCGGATAGCCAACAACAAGCGGAAGCTGCAAGCGGGCTAGAACCGTAAACAAGTTTTGCCTCACAGCAGCCGAAATCTCAGCCAATCCACCAGGCCAAAACAAATGCTCGAAAAATAAAGCGAAACTTTAAGTGAGACTAGCGCAGCTTGGCATCGGTTTTGGCCACCCCACCATTAGCCCCTTTTGCGATGCGGAAGCCTTAGCAGGCGCTAATTGATTGCCCGAGACAAGAAGAAGTAGAATTCCTAAAAATCCCCCAGAATCACAGCCAATTGGGCCAGGAGGAAGACCCTGAAAACCACTCAAGTGGAGTCTGCCGATAAGCACGAATCAAGTTCATGGCTTCCATTAGACTGCTCGCAATTCTCGTCACCACGTTGATAAGGCCATGTCCAAGAGCACAGCCAAAATAGAAACTGAAATAAACACTAACTAGCCGTCGAGTGGCCGCGGCGGAAAGCACAATTAACTTGGCCCAGATACATACTTACCAGAATGGCCTGACATTCTAAAAGCAGATTACACATCGCAGTTCACCGAAGCATAATCGGAATTCAGATTGAGACCGATAGAGAGCATACACTGTTACGTCGCATGTTGTTTGCAAGTAAAGCGCCCTACGGCAAGTGTTTGTATGGCTCTTGATTCCGGGCACGGGTCCAAGAACTCGAGAGCCCAATTTCCCTGGTCCTCCCCCGCCCTGAACTTGAGCAAAAAGTAGATATGGCCATGAGTCAGTCGCATGATCGATAGCTGTTCGCGGTCATCGGCTATGAATCGGTCGGGCGGGGAACTATTTGGTAATTGGAGGAATGCTTTGCCTTAAGCACTTTATCAATGCGTCGATAAGGTTGCCTCATATGCTTCACCTAAAATTGGTTCGAGGGAAAGTTTTTCCTTCTCCCCGTGTTACGTTTAATCAATATCACCAGAGGAATATAACCAGTGACTCTCAAGATATGGCACGCGTCTGCTCTTATTAATACAAGTGGAAGTAGATTAGATAGGGGAGTTTCCGACTTGGATTAAAAATCCCAGATTTGCAGCATGATATAACCTTGAAAGAAAATTTGGATAGAATAGTTGCCTAGTTATATTTTGCAATTCTGTAAAAATAAATATTTGTGTAGGCAAATCATTGTTTGCCTCAAGGATAAGATAAAGAGATTGATTCAATTATATTAAATTAATGTCAAATACGTATATAATGCACATATATCCATCCAAATAAGAAAGAGGACCGAATCAATTCTTTGTTTGCATGTAGGATAGGATCAAGGAGAGTTTCCGTTTGGAAGGGGCGGGAATAACACAATTTATCTAAATAGCGGGAGCCAAGATAAGATATAATCCATTTGTTATACGTATTTTCAAGTACACTTTTATATTAAAAACGATAAGTCAAATATCTGACATGTAAAATTATAAAAAGGGGCAAATCAATAGAACACCTAACATGCACTTTGCCAAAAAGAGTCAAGTTACCGGGTATTCACTGTAATCTATATAGCGCTTTACAATGGCCATTGCCACCTTTC